GATTGGAATTGGGCCGAATTCTCTAAACACTAAGGAAAGGTTCGATGCTTCCTTTCAGATCTCCTTTAGCATAGGATACATCGGACCTTCCTAAGTGATAGGAAAGGAGATAATTTAATCCCACAATGCTTTGCGGGAGCAATATTTAAAGCGACTGACCGTTCACGGAGACAAACGAATAAACCCGAAGAAGTAGGAGAAGAGGAAGAACGAAAGAAGTGACGAAAGGTAAAGAAAAAGAACAACTGGCTCTCAATATGACTGAAAAGTCACGGAGATCACCATGTAAGTCACTGTTACATGAAGCTTTGCCCATCTCATGCCATAACTTGATAATAGGCTATGCGTAATGTGATATGTTCCAAACTCTCCACAATATGTTAAACCCATGCAAACTATAAACGTCACGCTACTGTTGTAACATTATTTAATTCAAGTTAATATTGTGGTGTAAGATATGCTCAGTGTGCATTAATCATGTCACTATTTGAGCGTTGCTGAATCGCCAGCTTTTAGCAATATCATTAATTAATTTTTCTTCAGCCACAGATGCTGACATCTCTGCACTCATATGGGCATGTGTGCGGCTGGAGCACCTCTTCAGCGGGAGGCAGCCCTTTTTAGACTATTACGCAAATGAATTTTACCCACTTTAGAATAAAGCCTCCCACATCTCTACCCCCCCCCCTTTTTTTCCTTTCTGCTCTCTCTGTGAATTGAATAGTTTACTCATTTCTTGCATACGAACATCAGCAAACACAGAAAACCTGTCCATATAGGCAGAAGATATACTGTTTATTGCACAGGTGCACCTTCATCCCTATGTATGCTCTTGTTATTTGTTCTTTTCTTTTTTTTCTGTGTTGTTATTGTCACTAATATAATGGAAAATCCAATAAACACGATTAAAAAAATAAAATAAAATAAAAAATAACTTCAAGGCACAATCATGTCAACATTTCAAGGTGTTTACTGAGTTTTGTGGTCGTTTTTAAACTGTTGTAAGCAAATGACAGATGATGATTGATTGGCAT